GCGCCTGGTCCGCAGGCAGTGACAGTGCCAGGGCTGCTCTCCGTGAATCACTTCTGTGGTTAAGATCATTCAAATCTAGACTAAGCTTCCCATTTCTGTGGGACCAGAAATGGGTCTCTGGGGGGGAAAATTCTGGAAGCGTTTCAGCGACGTGGGTTGAAGCAACCAGAGCAAATGGCAGAATTTCATCACCACCTCCAGCGCTGCTGACTGTTTGTTTCTCAGTTTCCAAAGTGCTCGCGGGCTCTGCAAAACAAAGGCTGCCTAAATCCTCCTCACCTGCAGCTGGCCACAAAGCAAAGTTTTATTTTTAAATACCTATCCTAGAGCTTTCTAGCCCGATTTTAGATGACTCAAACACGTCCTGAGAAAGACAACCTTTTGAGAAAGTCTGGAAATTCAAGGCAGGGGCCCCAGAAGCACTGCCTGGCTTTTGCAATTATCTGGGGCACCTCAGCTAAAAGCCCTGCAAGAGGAGAGAGGCTGCACTTGGAGCAACTTTCCTGCAGTGGTTCACCCACCTCCAGATGGAGGAAATTCCACTGCTTCCACGTGATTTTTCCAGAGCGTACAGAGCAGGGCAGGATAATGGAAGTGAGGGCAAGGATTTTCTATGAACTTATCTGATTGCATTTAAAACTCTGTGATATCTTTAAAAATGAGTCTGAAAATAAATAGGGACCAAAGCCCCTAAACTAAACGGATATTAGTATTACTCAAGTCTTCCAGTCATCATTATATTATGAACTATTTGGGACCATACCCTGGACGTAGGCATACATTGCTCATCTCTTTCTTACTGATTATTTACTCACAGCTCCACAAATCTGCAGGCAGTAGTACTGTTCTCATCAAGGAGAAGGTGTGGCAAATGTTGGAAGCTCTTTGTGCTACACAGCAACTAAAATTTCAGAATGATGCATCACAGCATTCATCTGAGAACAAATATATTTAGTTGGCATGGAAACAGTAAGTAAGGCTGAATGTGGTAAATATTCAGCAGTCATAAAAAATTGAGCAAGTCAGAATAACAAACATTAAAAATGAAAACTCGCTGAATGCTTTTGAATCATAGCTCTTTTACAATTATCACTCCTGTTTTCATTTGAACATGAGTGAAATCCACTTAACAAACTAAGCTGTTCCATTCTATTCCAAATATTTCTACAACATCCTTACTCAGATAACGCCTTTCTCCCTTTTTTATAATCTATTTGAGAAAAGTCATTAAAGGGCTAGAAATCTAGATTGGTATTCTTCATTTCCTCAGTAATATTCATGAATTGGACATAATTGATTTTCTGTCTTCAGAAAATCTCTTTCCTTTAAGACTCTATTTGTGACCTGACTGCTTGGAGTATTCCTATGGTTTGAGTATCTATAGAGTTGCTACTTGAGTTATTTGCAAACATGAGGAAATTCTTTCCCTTATTATCCCCAATTAGAAATTTTGCATCATACTCAATCGACCCCTACAGTTAAAAATGTTAGAACAAGGAATAAAAAGAATAGCGGCTTTTATCTGAAGAAATTCTTGACTGTAATTCTCAAAAGAGAGATTCTTGGAGCTTTTTAGTATACTGAGTTGGGGTTATTACCATTACAAAAAGGAATTTGAAATTAAGTGAGGTATTCTAAAGAAATCTAGGTAATAAAGCAAGAATATTACTACCATTCATTTTTATACAGGCCCCAATTCAACAAAATTTGCTGCACATGGCTACATTCCTGGATTCATTAAGGCACATACTTAAGCTTTCAGTGATGTGCATCACTTTTCATTACACATTCACAGGATGTAAAGTCTGCTGTATGAACAATTCAGATTTTTTAACTATGACTGACAACTGCACAAAGCCATATGACTGACGGAAGAGAAACATTTTTAGTAGAATGAAAGATCTATCAGAAATCTTGGCTTACACTGGATCTAGGCGCATATCAGAGACAACCAAGTGAAACACTACAAGAGTATACGATACAGGAACATAACCTAAATGGGATTAGTTGAGGGGAAGCCGGTTGCCAGAGTTACATAGTACTGAGATACAAGAAACTTCATCATTGCTTTGCAAGGAAAAGGTCTGGACACCCCCAAATTTCCTAGGAACCTTCCCAGATTGCTTTAACTGTCTTGGAACTATAGAACAAAAGACCTGTATATAAAAAACTACATATTAAGTGTGAGTTACACTTTATTTATTGCTAGTTTGACACTTTCCATTAATACAATTACCTATGTCTCAAGAAGGTGGACATCTAATTTTTAAAGGAAACATCCAGCATTTTGACATGAAGAAAGATGATACAGTTCTGAGACTCCAGTCTAGAAGTGTAGCATTACCAAACACATGCACCACAGCCCTAGAAAACCATGCTTAGCAGAGACAGGACAACCTTTGTGGAAAAGATAAAATTATTTAGATTAGTCAAAGTGGGAGAAGATCCCAGGCACTTCTGACAAATGTGCGTTCATCTGGATTGGGACTCATCGCTCGGATAATGCTGCCGTACTGCACCACTGATAAAACAACACAGATGTAACCTGATCGCATCTACTGACACTGTAAAGAGGATTGAAGAAGTAAACAGGAGTAAACCCAAGTTCATACAAGAACATGAAGTACTGGGATGAAAAAGCTCCATAAAAACAACAGCTCATCTTCAACTGCAGCACCACGCTCGCCTCCAGACAGCTCAGGGCTTGCCATCAGCGTCCTTCTAACGTATTTCCCCCCCTTATTTGTAGGACAGTTTGTCTCTGTCTCTCTGGAGAACTATAATAAAGAAAGGTTGACTCTGTGCGATCACCAGAGGGTTACTGTAACAAAGAGTTAAGCTTCATGGATCTGTCAGTCACTCTTAGAGCCTGAAGAGTTATAAGGACATTGCACTGAAAAAAAGACAAACATGGAGCACTAAGATACCACCCAACAAGCCATAACGAGAAACAGCTTTTTATTTTTAATTAAAAGCACAACAAAATGTTTTTTCATGTCTCATTCATTTGTTTGTTGTTGTTATAGAATCAAAACACAAGACTTTTCCTTTTAATGAAAAACAGAAGCTGTTTAACCCTCTCTCCTCCTTATTTAGAGACATGTAAAAGCTCAGAAAAGTGGCCTTTATAATAGCGCCAGTGCAAATTTTCATGTTTTATGCAATTCTGATTGAGACAATACTTGGTAAAAGCAGAAAGCAAGTTCTAAGTTACTGCCTTAAATATTTCAACTCCCTGATCAGCTGATGAGTCGTTATCTACTGTTAATACTTGATGAACATGTTTACAGGTAGCCTGGCTAAGACATAATAACTGAAAATATGTCAGAGCTGTCATTTTTGCACTTTCTTCTGGAGAGATAAGCATAACTAATGGATTAACCAGTCACAGAGAAGACACACTAACAACTTTCAAAATGTTTGTCTAAAAAACAAACCAAAGCCACCTAAACAAAAACATCCTCAAGGGCTCCAACTTCTTCAGAAAGTCCCGACAGATTGATGGCAGAGACAAGACCACGGGTGAACTCAGATATGAGCATTACCATAAGTCTGCTAACATATTACCACATTGCAGGAAAAGCTCTAAGCTGGATGGGTCAGTGTCATTTAAATAACATTTCTGTTCCATTTATACTGGGAAACGGGACATTACCAGCTGAGCTAGTCCTTCATTAATTTACTGTGGACAGGATAGTCCTGTAGGTTGGTTTGGACAAGATGTTCATGTAAGAGAAAGCCTTGAAGGCAGAAAGGGGGGACCATCTGTGAATCTGCATGTCCAGCCTTCTACCTCTGTATTTTACAAGTAATTTTTTTGTTTCTTCTTCTGGATTCTGTCTCTAAACTGGTCAGGGAAAAAAAAAAAAAAAAAAAAAAAGAGATCTGAAAGAAGACTCTCATAGCGTGCAAGCCAGTGCTGTTCCCTGGGAGGGACAACCATACACCAAATAGCTAATTTTCCTTCTTCTTTTCCAGGAGACTCTTTGAAGCCAAAATGCAAGGCTTGTAGGCCAACTCACTCATTACACCAAATGGATCCTGCAAGCATTGCAGCTAAGGATGAACCTGGCCCAGCATCTGGGTTTGGGAGGCAGAGGGGGAAGAGAGCAGAAGAGAAAACCACCAACACTCCTGAAGAAATACATGGACCAGAACACCAAGGGTGAATGAGGGTTCCCATGTGCAAGTAGGATGATAACAACAGGGGAAAAAAATATTTGAAATTAATGATTATTACTCTTCTGCAACCACCCCGACTTACTATTTCTGCAGGTATAGATTTAGAAATGCTTTGTATAGGATATACATTATGGATACTGTTTACTCAGCACCAAATAAAGTTCTCAAATGCTGCAAAAACTGATCTGTATTAGAAATCTGTAAATTTGTATGTGATTAGGATATCCACCACCTGTATATTTTAATGAATACTTCAATTTAATCTGGTTTGAGTGCCTTGACTTTCTGTTTCAATAATAGTCTGTAAACTACATACACTATTTTGCTTGAAGCACACTAAATCTCTGATTTCACTGAAAGCATCTAGATTAATTTTAGCCTTATTAATCATATGGGACTGTTTACAGACAACATGCTAGGACAATGAATGCATAAGATCAGAAATAAAGATTATTTTTAGCTTAGTTATGGTCCAATTATAATTCTCTTCATACGAGCCATTAAACAACAGGTTAGAATAGTCTCAGAAAACTACCTCTACTAAAACAGTATAGTGAGGTCAAAATAAATGCATTGTTTAACAGCTAGAATAGTTGAAATACCAACTTGAAATAGAGAGCATAAGATAAGTATTTGCCTGTAGGGTTCAGACAGCTTAATTCTCTTTTATTACCAAAAAAAAAAAAAAAAGGCAGAAAAGAAAGCTGGCTGAAATTTTTTCAGGCAAATATGTGCTTTTGCTTTGAAGCAAGATATTATTTTTAAACGCCAAACCTCCTTGCCCAAGGGAAGAGGACAGGGGGGACAGGACCCGGTACCTGCTCGTGCATCTCCAGCTCCCGGCGTTGCAGCTTCTTCTCCGCAGCCCGCGCCTGGACGCGGTAACTTTCCACCTCATCTTGTAAGGCCTGAAACGATACCAACGGATGCAAAACACACGTGAGAAACACGGGATGGCAGGAAAAACTCACAGGTAATGTATTTTAATGAGCTGATTAAGAAAACAGTGCAGCATCCATACAGCTCTTCAGCTACAGTTGCTTCCAGCCACACATGAGAGCTGCTAGGAAGTAACAGACCCAGTTTGGCCACCCTTACTGAGTAAAGTTATTCTGCACAGGTATTCTGCACTGATTGAGCAGGAATAGTTAAATCTTAGTAGTTCTATCTTATTATAGGCTACAAGTATTCGTACTGAAAATGTAATAAATATCAAAGACTGAAAGGGAAATAGAAATGCTGCAAGTGCAATAATTGCATTTGCATTTGCAATTGCAACAACTGCATTTGCATTTGGAATTGCAAATGTCTCAGATTTTTGTTATCATCTTACTTGTACAACCTGTGCTTCCCCAGAACACTTTTGCAGTGTACCAGTAACTTTTCTTTTAAGCCAGAAGAATAATCCTCTTTCTGGAAAAACATGTCTGGAATTTTCAGTGAAAATGTATTCCATATTATTGAAACAGAATGCTCGCTGAGATGAGGGGCTCCCCTCCCGCCCCGTAGTAAAGTCTAGCATGTGATCTACAAATGAAGTATAAATGGTAATAAATAAAAGGAATATTACGATCATGTCACTTTACCACAACTATCCAGTCTTTATTTAGTTCAGAAATAATCACTTCTAAACCGGGCTCATAAAATGCATTGACAAATTTATTTTGTCATTATTGTTCTTCTTATATATTTATTTTTATTACGGCAGTCCCTCAGAGCCTTGATCTTTTTGTTATATGTTTAACAAAAGAACAGTCATGCCCCAAGGAACTGATAGTCTATGTTACTTCTAACAGATACACACCAAACAAACAATACAAAGTTTCAAAGATTTTTTTTTTTAAGTTTCCCAGTCATTGTTGAATGTTTGAATACAGACTTAACATTTACTTACACATTTACTAAAAGCTTAGTTATGTTGTCAGCTTGAATAAAGGCATTGTTAACTGCAAGTGCTGACTTGAAGGAAAGTGTACAATGTGGATCTTAGATTGACATCAACACAGGGGCGGCTGTGGCAGCAGAAAGGGAATATTTTGAGTTATCTTTTGTATGCCAGGAAACCAGGGCATTGCTACCCATCAGCTGGGAAGTGTGGCGCAGAGTCAGGCCTGGACCCGGGGAGGGGCTTGCGCTGGAGAAACGCTGCAAATGACACTGGAGGTGCCTCCAGTGTTGCTTTTTAAAAAGTTGAGCTCACAGAGACCTTCTGCAGAGCACCTTGGAAAGGAGAGACCGCCGCGTCCAGGGACTCAGTGTGCTTTGCAGAACATGCGACACGGTTAACATTTGCTTCCCTCAAGTAGCATACCTGTACGTAAACCAGGATCATTAGAAGTACCCGTGGTGCAAAGATTTAACAGAAAAAACCCCTTGCTCTTTTCCACAGTACTGAAATACTGTACTCTCAAATCATTTACAGGATAAAATTGCTATTGAGATAAGATAAGAGGACTACTTATGATAGATCTTGTACATTGTTTTGAAGTGATGCCAGGCATTAACTTTAAAGTCTTATAGCTATAAGACTATTACATGTTCTGATGCCAAAAAATTTAACCAGACCCAAACATGAACTTCAAATCTGCCCAGGGACTTTTATGCTATCACCGCTTCTGAGAAATGTTGAAATCCAGGCTTTGAATATATAACCAGTCTTCAATACTCAACAAGTCTTGCAGTACCAGGAATTTGCATTAATATAATGAAATATATGTGTGAATTGTAGGCTTTTTGTTTTCTTTTTGTACCTCTAATCCTGTAAAGTAAAACACAAACAAGTATATTTTGATTTAGAAACTAAAATGACCCGGTCAGGCAATGCAGAAAGGTAATAAGGAGCAGGGTCGTTCCATGTATCAGAAAGATCACCAAAGACCCAATTAATTTGACAAAAGTCCTGCCACAACTCCAAAGTGTCCACACACAACCAGTACAGGACAACTCTCAGGAACATTCACAAAGCACGTTTTAGATGAAGTGCAAAGTGCGACCCATCTTCTGCTATTTCCACTTGATCAGCTTACACAGTCCAAACAGTTTGGCATGGTGAAAAATAAAGAGGGAGGAAACATCACTACACATCAGTCATCCTACCTGGACTCCCTCTTTGTGCTCAAGAGCAAGTTTCACTCTTTCACAAGACTTTAAAGATGATCAAGAGAGAGCACGTATACGTATGAATGTCCATGTATATATATATGTACACACTTGTCTCAGAGAACAGATATTATATCACACCATCACACAAATCTGCAAGTACTGAATACAAAACAGGATCTCAAATTGTTCATGGTAAAGACAGCAACCACCTGCTGGCAAAGAAGAGAACTGGTGCACTGCTGTTTCCTTCCTTAATTTCTCCATTTTCACTTTTCTTATTTAGAACAAACATATTCTACAGAGCATAAAATGAGAGGTTCCTTTAAATCTAAGGGTTTGCAATGTATCTTAAAGTAATTTAATTTGGGAAATTCAGATAATGCAGTCTTTGTCAGGTGCACTTACTCTAGATAGTGTTTGCCAGCATGGAGCGCGTGTATTTTGTTTCATTATGAGAGCAGACAATGTCTTAAACAAGTACAATTTAGAAATAAGTTATTTTTACTGTAGCATATAAGAGTACCAAATGATCAAGTCTTATAATTATCCATTCACCAGTTGTCCAAACCAGACTATACTATATGAGTTTACAGACTTTTCCAACCACATCATAACTGGCTGTTGGTACGTTTCGTATTGGGATAGCAGAAAAAAAGACTAACTCTTCTGATCAATCATGAATACCTCTAACTTGGCCATTTTTGGACTTCTGCTGTGTTGCGTACCAGTTCTCCTACTGGTCACTTTGTGGAATCCAGCTTTGTGTATAAAGGATGTTCCATGAGTAATTAATGTTCATTTAGGTATTTCAGCTTTCCTCTCAGCACAAGGACAAAAAAGTAAAACCAAAAGAGCGGCATTTGATCAAAGCCAAGACAAAAAAAAAAAAAGGAACATCAAAATCTCATGGTTGCTGTAGATTCCTGCATATGATTAGCTCTGAAAATAGTAATTAGAAGTAAGCAAGTTTGTTGCCCATGATTTTAATTTTATAGGAGAAATCATGATGGATGTCATGAATAATGCACTCTTTTGAAGATCACACCGAAAATTCTCTCTATTGTCAAAAAGCTTCATATGCAGTGGCCGGGGCCTGAATGCTGATGGCTGTTTCTGAAGCTCTCCAGTACCCTCAAATCTTTTTCTGTGTCTGACAGAGCAGCTTTTGTCACGCAGAGACTTACGCCAGGTATACCACAGAAGATCTCTTTTGTAAAATTAAACAACGTTTTTTGGTTTGTTTTGTTTAGAAATGCAGTTTTTATTCTACAGCTTCAAAGTGTCAGATTTTGCCCAAAGAGTAACAGAGCTTACGTTTAATGACTGCTGAGATAAAGAAAAAGGATAAAAAAAAAACCAAAACCAAAACAGGTCGATTTTTGAGTGTCAGAGGCTTTTTTCCCTGAATGGAAAACAAAGCCTAACTTATTTAGTTAAATTTTTCCAGGTACAGAATTAATCCCCGTCCCTCAGCTTTGCTGAATTGACTTACATCACTGTTATAAAGACAGTATTTTTTTTTTTTTCAGTTAAACCAGCTTTCAAATGCCATGTAAACATGTTTGCTGTTGAAAGTCTACACCATACCTGACCTTGGAAGTGCTTTGTTTTGGCCCGAGAACAAAGAAATTAAATGTTTTGCTTTCCAGCCCAGATATCCTACACTTTGAAAAGCACTTAAAAATGTAAATGAGATAATAAACTCTACTGCAACAATGTGGGTGAATTACAGCTGTATAAAAGGAACATTCATTTGATTTATTTATAAAAATGGAAAGGATCCTAAAATAAAATCATATTGTAAATGTTATGGTCACATACAACATTGAGAGACACGAGAAGGATGGAAGAGAAAAGTAATGGCTTTGAGAATCCGCCACTGAAATATTACGGTCAGATTTTGGGATCTCAAGTGGAGCTGGTGGATGAGTCCATCACCGCCCTGTGACACAGGGCACGTTTGGGTACTGCCTGATGCAAAAGGAGAAAGGAACATCTGAAGTGCATTTCTGGGTAGGTACTATTTTTTTTTTTTTTTTTCCCTATTATTCTGCTATGTCTTGATTATCACCAGCAAAATGTTGAATGAAGTTTATTTCAAACCCAGCTCTGCTCCTGGTAACTTGGAACACTTTGGAGACAACAGTGGCACACGAGGAGCTCGTGCAGCTTGGCCCGTGCAGCTTGCAGGGACCCTGGGATGATGCACGAGACTGGAGGAATTCATTCAGCCTGACTTCTGGGTGCCAGACTGAGGTTGCAAAAGAGGGGCTTTTTTTTTTTTAAAAAAACCCCACAACTTGTAAAGCATATAGTTTTGACAAGGAGACACAGAGAGACAAAAAGGTATGATGCCAGCATTGCAAAATCCCTTTTCAAGGCAGGAACAATTTTTTGGCATTAGTTACAGGGCTTAATCTAAATCAACTAAAAGCTGGTAAGAGAAAGAGTTCTAAGAATCTCAAGAACAAGGATGAAATGGGAGTATATGAAGGATTTAGTCTTTAATATAGGAAAACTGATTTGATTATCCTTTAAACACAGGGTATTTTTAAAAAGTAGTGTTGGATTCCCTGAAAAAAAAATCAGGTGTGGAAGAATTACATAAACAGAAATCATTATTATTTTGAATTACTTGGTATTGATTATTACTGTTAAGACACTGTATTTACAAAGGTGTGATATTTTGCTTCTTCAGCCTGAAATACTTCCCTACTTTTGGTGTGTTCCTGAGAGCAGACAGGGCTTGATTCCTGCTCTCATCACATCAGTGGCAAGTCTGGGATCATGATGATTTATCTCTCTG